TACCAGCATCCACTGAACTGCATATTTAAAAGATCATACCATGCAGGCTGCTCTGCACCTTGCTTTTTTTCATTTAATACCACATCTTAGCTAATTTTTAATATGAGATTTATCATCCATTATAGGATACATCGTAATTTACCAGTCCACTATTAATGGACACAGGCTTTTCCAAGATTTTTAATATTACAAATAATACTTCAATGAGCATCTTATACATATATCTTAGCAAATTTGGGGGAGCATATTCACTGAGCAAGTTTCAAGCTGTGGAATTTACAAGTCTGAAAAGTATTTTTATCAGGTTAGATAATGCGAAGTTGTCCTCCAGAAAGTTTGCATCAATCTTTCCCTCAGGTAGTAATGATCAAAATTTTTCACTTGTGCCAATATAATAAAAAGCAGCACCCAAATTACTGTTTTAATTTGCATTTCTTTAATTATGAGTAAAGCTGAAGCTCTTTCAATATCTTTATATTTATTGGCTATTTAAATTTCTTTTTCCTATGCTCTTTGGCAGCACATACACTAAACTTCTATTTGCATTAACCTCCCACTCCCAATCTTTCCCCATTTAGTTGTTCATCTTTTTTAAAAAATCACCTACAAGTCTTTATAGTCTAAAAGAATTTTGTATCACTCCTTAGATTAAGGAGAAAAAAACAAAACCTTCTTGCATATGAGATTCAAATTCTAAAATTTAATTCATCATTGATTAATCATCTGTTCTGTGCTAGGCACTTGTATGATTAAACTGATTAAGAAGCATGGCCTTTTATATAAAATTCCAAGAAAATATATGATATCAAATTTTCTGCCCAAATTATAAGTTGCTGATAGATAGATTATTTTTAGTCATTAGTTCTCTACTAGAGTATCCAAAGTATAACACATGCTGGAGAAATTGATAAAAATACTTACCTTATAGTTGTTCCAGTACAGTGTATCTTGGGTGATTTTTTCACCAAGTATAGGATATGCCTGAACAGCTACAGGCTTATAACCAGCCATAATTTCATATAATTGGACTGTTATCCAAAAGTAAAAGGTCTGAAACTGATGTTAGAAATAATTATAGTGACACTGCCTTTCGTCTGAAAAAGAAAACATTTTTTATACATGTTATTCATAAACCTATATATACAGTTATGATTTTCACTCTGCAGAATGAAGGAAAGGATGCATTGTGTTGGGTTCTATTGGAAAACACAAAATTAAAATCACAAGTGGTGTCTATAAGATAAACACTGCTATAGAACAGGAGTCGACTTTTCTGCAAACTTTTTCTGCAAAGAGCCAGATGATAAATAGTTTAGGCTTTGCAGGCCAACAGGCAAAATAGAGGATATTATGTAGTTAGTTATATAGTAAGAAAGAAAATTTCCAATTTTTTACTAATGAAACCCCCAAAATAGTTATGAGTAAAATTTTTTATTTATGAAAATAGGATTCTCTGGAGGAAGAGGAGAATACTTCACCTACTTCAGGTTCCAAGTTAGTGTTTCCTGTCATCAAATAAACTGCAAATGTTTATCTCTAAAAATCATTCTTGGCTCACTGGCTATCCAAAAACAAGCACCAGGCCAGATCTAGCCTGCAAGACTTTGTCCCATACTATAGTACAGGTAAAGGAGCACCTGTGTCCTGGGAGAAATAGTTTAAAACTTCAGAAGTTAGAACCGAGGAGCAGTAGCAGTGGTTTGCTAGATTAAAGTGAAAAGCAGCACTGGTGGAGGCGGGAGCACAACACAGTGCAAAGGCATGGAGGCAAGAAGTGATGAGAAAATGAAAAGTAAAAGCATGACCAGGGAGAGGTCAGAGCCTGAGAAATTGGGACTAAATGAATAACAGGTACTAAACTATAATGCAAAATATCAAATATAGTCTATAAGTAACGTATAAAGTACTGAGAGTTCAGAAGAGATTTTTAATTCCAGCTGGGCGGCTCCCAGGAAGATTCAAAGCGTGCATTTCAGCTGGGCTTTGAAGTATAATACTGAAACAGACTGACCACTTAAGACGCGCGCAAAGGCGGGGGCGGAGGAGGGAGCCTTCGAAAAGGTGGGAACCTCGGAAGCATCGACAGAGATGGAAACCTGCCCGCTGCCTCTCAAGGCGCGGATTGCTCCGGGGACGAGTAACGATAGTCAGTGTGAAAGGATGTGATCGTAAAGGAGGAAGACCGGGTCGAAGAGAATTGAGGGGATCCCCGTGGGCAGGTTACGGAGCTTAGCCACTCGGCGGAGACTGGGAGCCCAGAGAAGCATGCCAGCTACCAAGGCAGGCCCGCCGCGAGCCTGGGCCGCCCCCAAGGGGAGCCGCCTTCACCTACCTCCGCGGGGCCCCGAGGGTCCGCCGAGACACCCGGGCTACAAGAGAATTCCTTGGACTCCGCCAGGCCCCTCGCTGGGCTGCTCGGATCACTCCAAGCAGATCACATGGATCCCCCGGAGTCGCCAGGACGCGCGGCGCGGAGAGCAGCCAGGCCGTCGCCTGGTGATGACGTCACGCACAGGCTCGCGGGACTCCTGCTTACGTCCGTCGCGGGGCCCGTCAGGTGGGCGGGGCGATGGGGAGGAGGAGGCGGGGCCCGAGGGCCAGACTCGGGCCTGGCAGAGCCCAGCCGCTGCCGAGTCGTCTCCTGAAGCGACCGGGTCT